CCTTGGCCCCCTGCTGCCGGCCTGGCCTGGTTGCCTGGCCTGCCGCTGCTCGTCTGCCCGTCGGCCTGCCAGAGGCCCTCCTCAAAGGGGAAGAAGAAAAAAAAAAATCCGACCTCGAGGGCCGGGCGCGCGGGGCAGGCCGGGCGCAGGCACACCCACGCAAGCAGCAGGCGGCCCGTCTGGCCTGCCATGCCCCGGCAGAGAAGGAAGCTGCAAGCCAGGGGCACCGGGCGGGCGACCTTGAACTTGCTTGACCTTCCGTTTGGCCGGGGGCCTGTGCGAGCGAGCAAGCCAAACTCCACTTTTGCCCCCCACGCGGCAGGCGGCAGGCAGGCAGGCCAAGCCAGGCCAAGCGCAGCGGTCCAGGAGCCGGCTGGCGAACGGCTTCCTTGTCGACCGACGGGCTGGCCTACAACCCTACCCTACCCTAGCCTCTGCTCCAGACGACCGACATGGCCACCGTCTCAGTCCCACCATCACCGACAGCCGCAGGACACCTTGGCAGTAGCATGGCATCGACAGCGACGCCACTCAGCAACGACAGTGGCGGCGGCGCGGCTTCGGCGTCGGCATCGGGCTTCAGCTTTCCGGCCATCCACTCGTTCCCGCCCTTCTACACGCTCCAGCCCAACCCGACGTCGCGCGCCCAGCAGCTGGCGCAGTGGCGCTCCCTCATCCTCGCCTTTTGCCGGCATCATCGCATCTTTTACGTCGACGCCGCTCCCACCTCCTCCTCGTCCTCCGCGAGCGCAGTGGCGCCGGGAGTCGATGCCGACGCACGCGAGCGAGACGTGTGGCAGTCGCTTTTCCGCAACGCCCGGATATCCAGGGCCCTCGACGGCGAGACGGTCCGCGAGATCCTGCAGGACATGGTCAGGAATCGCCAGGCGGCGTGGGACGGCGTCAGGCCCGGCAAGGCGGCGACGGGCACCAAGGCCCTCATCTACTGGCGGACGCCCGCGCAGTGGGCCGACCTCATCTACGACTGGGTGAGTGGATCGCCGTGTAGCCTGGTCGAGTCGCGCACACGCAGCTGGCTGACCCACGGCGAACCCCCGCCCCTCTTCTCCAGGTGTCGGCGACGGGGCAGAACAAGAGCATCATGACGCTGTTCGAGCTGACCCAGGGCGATCTCGTCGAGGGCCAAGGTGAGCTCGTCATCCTGCCCGGGCCTTCCGCCGTCCCGACGCAGCACTGACACCGCACCGCCGCTTCCACGTTATGCGCCGTCACAGAGTTCCACAACCTCCCAATACCGCTCCTCCGCCAGGCGCTGCAGCACCTCTCGACCCAGGGCAAGGCGCAAATCTTTGCCGGGACAGAGACAGACGACGGCGAGGGCGTCAAGTTCGTATAGCCGAGCGGGGGACCGCGGTGTCCGATTGAGAGGGGAAATGGAGCAGGCCTTCTGCATGCTCGCTCGGTTGTCGTTCTTCTGTGGTGTTTACATGGGTCAAGCGGAATGCTCCTGTGTCTGTGTGTGAGTGTATGCTGGGTGGTGGTCTGTTTCGATGTCGATTTCTTTAGTGGTCGTGTCCGTTGCTTTCGTAGCGGGGGTCCGCCGGTGGCCGCAGAGCTGGGCTGAGCCCGGTCTTCAGCCGCTGTAGTATCGGTCGCCGTAGTCTCCGAGACCGGGGATGACTGCGGCGGAGGGAGAGATGCGCAGGGTACAGAGCAGGCAGGCCAAGGCAAGGTCAGCCGGAGACTTTGGTGCACCGATGGCACGGCGGCACGTCGGCACGGCGGCGGGCACTCACTGTAGCTCTTGTCGTCGAGCTTCTCGTCGACCCAGGCGCTGATGACGCGGACCTGCGGGTATTTTGTCCACATGTTCTGGAGGCCCTCTGGGCTGGCGATGAGGTTGAGGAAGAGGATGCGCTCCTTTTTGACGCCGTGGTCGGTGAGGACCTCGATGGCCTTGAGTGCCGATCCGCCGGTGGCGAGCATGGGGTCGAGGAGGAGCACCCAGCGGTCGGCGATGTCTTCGGGCAGCTTGGCGTAGAAGAGCTTGGGCTGGGCCGTCTCCTCGTCGCGCTGGATGAGGATCTTGCCGATGCGCACGCTGCGGCAGCACTCGCGCAGGCCCTGCTCCATGGCCTCGCCGGCGCGCAGGATCGAGACGCCGCAGATGCGCCCCTCGAAGGATACGCCGTCGTAGGGCATGCCCGTCGGCGTCTGCACCGTCTTGGGCAGCGTGGGCAGGTGGTTGAGCCCTTCCTCGACCAGCAGCCGGATGATGCGGTCAGAGTAGAAGATAAAGTCGGAGCGCGGCGTGTCCTTGTTGCGGATAATGGTCAGCAGCGCATCCAGCTGCGCCGTCTGGGGAAGCCGCGAGGCCGAGGGCGGAAGCGGAGGGCCCGTCGTGGGCGCCGTCACAGCCGCGCACGACGACATGCTGGGCGGTGGACCGGTCACGATGGACGACGAGGAGGGGTGAGATTGAGGGCGAGGGTGAGGGTGAGGATGGGGGTGAAGCTCAAGGGTCGGGTCGGGGCAGGTACAAGGCAGGACAGGAGACGACCGAGAGGCAAGCAAGGGCTCGGGGCGTCGAAGAAAAGGTAGGTAGGTGGACGGGTCGGTGGGGCTGGGCGAGGGCGAGTGGGGCAGTGGCGCAGCGGGGTGATGGACCACTGTGATGGTGGTAGTAGTGCGTGCGAGCAGACGACGACGAGGCCCAGTTCCGGACTGGCCCAGCGTGGGCCGGCCATTTGCGGCGGGCAAAAATCCGACCAAAAACCTTAACCTGGGCCTGAGCGCATCGGCCAGCTCCGAGGCTGGCCCCCCGGCCGTGATCCCGGCCTCCCAAAAGCTGTTGCTCCCCGATACGCGTTCAGCCATTCCTCACTCGTTCTGACTGGCTGACCTCTGCTCCATAGTGGTCTACAACATGCGATAGGCGCCATCCTTCGTGTGTGATGGCTGCGGCTCGAGAGCAGCACCCGCGCCCATCTCTCGCTATCCCCTAAGAGGCCCCTTCCCCCCGCAACCTGGCCGTTCAATCGTCGAGCTCCATGCCGTCGTCGGCCTTGGCCGCGCCACGCCTCCTCGTCCTCAGCGATCGGGCCTCGCCCTTGCTCTTGGACGGCGTGTCGATGTTGGTGACGGGACCATCGTCGTCGTCTTCGTCGTCTTCGCCGTCGCTGGCAGCGTCCAGCGGGTTGGCAGGCGGCGCCGCGTCGTCGTTGTCGTCGTCGTCGTTGACCTTCGCACCGCCCCTGTGGGCCTTGCCTGGCGAGTCCGGTCCTGCCCCGGTCGCCGTGCTGCTCTCGGCCAGCGGGTGTCGCTGCGCCATCGCCGGCGACGAGGCTGGCCCCTGGGATCCGCCTCCGTTGTTGATGATCCGCGACGAAAAGGGAGACGAGTGAGGGGCGCTCGAAGGCCTTCGGCTGTTGAACTGTCCGCAGTGCGGGCAGATGTACTCTGTTCGATCCATCCGTCGGCGCACGGCAGGGCAAGGCAAGGAGAGCGCTGTCAGACGCCGGCCAGCCCAGTCTGCGATCACCGGCGGAAGAGCCATTTCTACTCACGGATCTCCTGGAACTCCTCCCTGAGTGCCAGTCCGTTGTGCATGTGGCAGCGAGAGCAGATCAGGGCGTACTTTTGCTCCGGACCGGCGCTGCTCGGATCGGCGCCGAGCACCGCGTCCGCCACCTTGTCCATCCAGGTCCTCTGCATCGGCTGCGAGGGCGGGAGCGGCCTGGGCGGACCGAGCGCGCCCTGCTGTCGCATCGCCGCCATCTTCTGGGCCTGCATGCGAGCCTGCTCCGGCGTGAGTGGCGGTCCTGTCTGACGAGCGCCCAGCTGCTGCTGCTGCTGCTGCTGCTGCTGTTGCTGCTGCTGCTGGATTGCAGGGGCAGCTCCAGGCGTTGCTGGCTTACGCTGCTGCCCCTGTGCTGGACTCGGCGAGGCCGCTGCCGCTGCCGCCTTGGGCCCGCGCGGCTGCGTCTCGTCGTACTTTTCGAGCAGCATGCGCAGGTGGTCGTATTTGGTCGCGCGCTTGATCTCGTCGATCTTGTCCCTCCGCTGACGGCGCAGCTCGCCCAGGTGTTTCTCTAACCGTCCCGTGTCCAGGGAGGCAGTACGGTCGGGTCAGCGCTGCGGGCCCTTGCACCATCGAACCGGTCAGATCGGCCCGCTGCTCACCTTCTGCGGCTCCCACGCGCCTGTACCAGAAGCGGACAATCTTGCGAGTGAAGATGATGCTGTGTGGCCGTGGCAGTCGCGATGCAAGAGAGCGAAGGCATGGCTCAGTGCTGATCCACGGAGGCGGTCCGTTCGCGCCCGCCATTCCACTCACAGGATCGGGGACAGGACGACGGGCATCCAGACGAGGAACAGGTTGTAGCTACTGCCGCCCTCGTTGCCTGCATCCTCGAACTCGTTCCGGCTGAGGCTGAGCAGGCCAAAGAACCAGCAGGCGGCGGTGTAGAGGGCCCAGACGAGGAAGGCCTGGAGGGTGAGGGTGACGCTGGCGCGCCTCTCGCGCGTGCGGATCTGCGTCAGCCGGGACTGGACCTCGCTGATCTCCTTTGAGAGCGCAGAGAGGATCGTCTCGTAGTCGGTCTCCTGCTTGGCACCCCACCGCCAAGGCAGCAGCGAGCCCGAGACGAGCACGTTGAAGAGGCCCATCCTCGGTCGTGCAGCGCAAGTGGCGGCAGGAGCGCGGCTGCCAAGGTCGTCGCCTACAGGGAGGGTGAGAGAATAGCGCCGGGAGGCTCAGAAGCGAAGGGGCGGGTAAGGGTGCCCTTCGATCGGCCAGTACGATAGAGGTGATGGGTGGGCAGCGGGAGCGGTGGTGAGGCAGAAGGTGGGGGATAGAGGGCGAAGGCGAAGGAGGGTCTGAGAAGGGCACGGAAGGGTGCTGCTGCTTGGCCGGCCAGAAAAAGCCTGGCACGTACTGGGCCTGTGCGCGCCTGGCCTGCCGCGCTGGAGCCATCATCGCACCACCAGACACCCTGCCAGGCCTGGCCTGCCAACTCGCGGCGGCCCGTCCGCACTCACCCGCCGCTCTGCGCACCCCACACTTGCTGCACCATCCGTCCTCGTTTCCCTCACACATCCGCCACGACACGCCCTGACAGTCGGACAGATAGAAGGAGACGCGCCGGGTCGTGGAAGACGTGGATCGGATTCAGAGTTCAGAGCCAGGCGCCGGGCTGCCTTCGCCGCCGATGGGTCGCGGTCGGACATCGAGACGAGGTGCAGGATTGGCCGCCACAGCACCTCTTTCGCGAGTGACGCTCCACGCGAGACTCCTCACCAACTCAAGAAGGAGGTGTCTCGGACCCAGAACGAGAAAGGCACACAAGAGCAGATTGATGGGGAAAAGAGGGACGGCCGGCGTGGGCCAAAGTAGGAATTACTTCGGGCTGTGGCGGCGGGAATCAAGAAGGGAAGGAGGCCGAGACGACGGAGACGAGAGAGACACGACGGAACGCGAGGGAGCGGGGCCTAGAAGTACAATGCATGGGTGGCAGGCAGGGAGGCCGAGGCCGCCTTACGAGCGCTCGCCGCGCAGACGGCGGGCGAGGGCGATGTCCTTGGGCTGGATCGTGACACGCTTGGCGTGGATCGCGGCCAGGTTGGTGTCCTCGAAGAGCGAGACGAGGTAGGCCTGTAGGGAGGGGAGGAGGGGGCGGGCGTGAGTCAGCGACAGGGCCTAGGCCACGGCTTCCTCACACGCGCACGCGCGCGACAGGCGTATCGCAGGACACTCACCTCGGCGGCCTCCTGCAGGGCTCCGATGGCCGACGACTGGAAGCGCAGGTCGGTCTTAAAGTCCTGGGCAATCTCGCGGACGAGACGCTGGAAGGGGAGCTTGCGGATGAGGAGCTCCGTCGACTTCTGGTAGCGACGGATCTCACGCAGGGCGACGGTACCGGGCTTGTAACGGTGGGGCTTCTTGACACCGCCGGCGGCCGGGGCCGACTTGCGGGCGGCCTTGGTGGCGAGCTGCTTGCGCGGCGCCTTACCACCGGTCGACTTTCGGGCTGTCTGCTTGGTGCGGGCCATTGTCTGTGGCGCGTCGAGCAGGTGGTGAGGAGGTGGTGAGGAGTGGGACGTGGGAGAGGGTGGTGGCGAAGAGTGGATGTGTGATGGCGATGACGATGACGATGGCGACAAGCGACCGAGTGGATGGGTGGATGGATGGTGGTGGTGAGAGGGAGAGGTGGCGAGACGCGTTGGGGCGCGACAGAAATAGGCGGTGGCGAGAGCGGGGCGGTGCGGTGCGGATGGGTGGAGGGAGGGGCAGACGCGCGCGCGCGGTGGGCGGATGCGGATCCGAAAAAATGCCGTGGTGGGTCGGCGGGCGGGTGGCGAAAGAAAAAGAAGTCACATTAGGTCGAGGTGGCGAGCGAGCCGATATCGACCAGGTGACGTGCGCCATCCATCGCGTCGAGGCGGTGCAGCAGAGGGGGCGGAGTGGGGCGAGGGCACCAGAGCAGAGGCAGGGTGCGAGGAAAATGGGGGCGCCGCGGAAAATTCGAAAAATAAGAAAGTCGGAATCGAGGGCGGGGATCGTCATCGAGTCAAGGGGCGGGCGGGCGAGGGCGGGCGAGGGCAGGGCAGAGCAACAACACCAGCGAGGCGAGATACGAGGTCAGGGCGGGAGGCGGCGGGGGCGAGGGGGAGAGGGAGAGAGAGAGAAGGGAGCTCATGGTGTGAGTGGCTGGCCCATCTCATCTCGCACTCGGGTCCAAGGAAGGTGAGGACCGCCACCCTCCGCGCCGTGACGCCACTCTGGCCAGATATCGATCCGATGCCAAATGGCCGGCGGCGACGGGCGGTGGCGGCGAGAAACGTCGATGGCACCACTCACGGATGATTTGGCTTGAAGAGTTGGGGGTTGGTGGAAGGGGGAAAAGGGGCGCGCGATCCGGGAGAGGAGCAGAGAGGGGGCTTTATAGGGGTCGCCCAGGTCGCGGACGACGTTACGTTGTTTGCGACACCAGAGGGCTGGCCCCGTTGCGAGCAGAGTCGAGTCCGACTTTGTCAAGACCAAGACGACCAGGGAGGCGGCGCGGTGCGGGGCCTTGGTCGAGGGGAGTTGGCAGGCTAACTAGGGTACGGCGGTCAAAGGGGCGGCCCGGCCATGACAGCCGGGCCCAGCCTGTGGGTTGGCCGAGGTTGACGACGATGGGGCGGCGCTCGTGCTTGACCTCTGCTTGACACTGGCTGAGCCAGGTTCGAACCGGTCTGCCAGCACACAGGCCGGGATCCAGGCCAGATCGACACGCGCGAGGCAAGCAAGATGCTGCCGACCGACTCGAGTGCGCCCGGCAGGCCGGGCCTCGCAAGAAATCACGGGAGACTGACAAGGATCAGCGACTCGACTCGGGACGCGTTTGTGCGTGCTCTTCACCTGGCAGGCAGGCCTGGCCTCGCCTGAATTTCCCCGCGCCAGCCTCAGCCCATCGGCGCACCCATGCCAACCGGCCGGCTGGACCCTGCCTGCAGGTCAGGTCGGGTGGCTGGGTCGGTCGGGCGGTCGCTCGGGGCGGGGCGGGCGCACGCGCGCTCAGCCTGCACCACTGGCAAGGGACGGCTTTGCTTGCTGGTCACCAGCCAGACTGACCATGCCTTTGACTCTCTGCTGCAGACACATCATCGGCGGTGTTGTGTGTGTCTGGTGCCATGAGAGCTGATTGGAAACATCTCGAAGTGAGAAGGCTTTGGCAGTGATGGGGCAGACCTGCACCAAGGGGCAGAGAGTGGTGGCCAAAGGGCTGATGGTGATGGGCCATGCCGAGCGCTGGAAAAAGGGCTAAGGAAAATCCGATGAAAATGGGGCCGGGAGTGCGCGCTGGTGCATCCACGCCTGTCCGCTCTGGACGACACCGATGCCTCGACGACGCCGGTTCATCCGAGACGAGGCCGGCGATCGTCGTGCTTGCTGCGCTGCTCGACAGCGTCGCTGGGGCCGGGCATTGACGGCGCAGTCTGGCCGCCCAAACTCGAGCACCAGGAAGCGGTCCCTGGGCTAGACTGCTTCGAGGCGCAGTGGCGGGTCAGTACGGGCAGGTCGGGCGTCGACGAAGTAGCAACAGCAGCAGCAAGCGTCGTGCACATGCGAGGATGGCCAGCGAGTGCGCGCGGACCGATTGTGGCAGGAGGCCATCGACTGCAGCGCCAACTCTTGTGGTGATTGATACGGACAGCATGGCAGAGCAAGGCGGGGGGTTACCCTTGTCGACTGCGAGACGACGACGACGGCGACGGGGCGAGGGAGGGCCTGCTTGGATGTTGATGGAGGCTCGGCCTTCGGCGATTCCGCCCGCCGGGTTGGGAGGTCGGTTTGTATTGCGAGCGGGCCGACGACTACAAGACATGCGTCAGGTGAGGGCGGGTTTGTATTGCACGATGGCCAAGGGGGGCGGGCAGAGTGTGGTCAGCAGAGCGGGCTCGAGCTTGCAAGGCCGACGCGCGGGCGTCTGATTCTGATTTCTCGATCTGCGCTGCGTGGGGCTTCGGGCTGGCAGCTTGGCTTGTTTTCCCGCCCGTGGGCCTGATGGGGGGGGGAGGTTGCTCCACCTTTGGCCGCCGCACCTCGTTGCTTGCACCTCCATCTCGTCCGCATCCATCGCCATCCTCATCACCGCCGCTCCGGCTTGGGCCAATCATCCACCATCCATCCATACGCCCCTCTTTCAACGCCTCGCTCCGCCTCTCCTGCGACGCAACGCACACATCGACCCTCTGAGCCCCTCTAGCTCGAGGCACTGCTGCAACCTCGACGACGACAGCCACGCTGGCCCTCGCCGATCCCGGCGCTACCTCTTGCGCCTTCTACCGCACCTGCGTCGACGGGCCACTACTGAAGCCTAAGCCTCCGCCTCGTACCGTCGTGCAGCCGCTCGACCGCTGCCAGTAGCCGCACTCCGCATCCTTGCGGACGAGGTCAGGTGCTGCTTGGACATCCAGCCCACCATCTCCCAACTACCATCACACGCATACCTCAGCTGCTCCATCATCATCGCACTAGCAAGCCATTCCCTTCTCATCCCGCCACCACCCAGACGATTGCTCCTCTCTCCGCAGAATCGAGCCCACACCGCGCCGAGCAGTGCGCCAGCCCAACATCCTCTGCTTCAACCGCTCGTATCGGCCCCTCGTACGCTTGTACTCAGAGATACGACCTCAGCCTCGTCGGACTCTCCCATCCCTGCCACCGCCATCATCGCACCCCACTGCAACGGCCCCTCCACCGCCTAGGCTGCAACAGCGCGGCGGCAGTGTATCCGCTGCCATCGAGCGGGCGGCCCGCGGCTGCGACCATGTACAACACCGAATTCGGGCGGCGCCTCCGCAGCCAGTCATCCGGCGGCTCCTCGCCGTCATCCTCCAGAAACCACTCCCGCTCCGATCTCTTGGCCGGCGGCAGCACCACCGACCGCCTCCTCGGCTTCGGCGCAGCCTCGTCGCCGTCGGGCCACGCATCACCCGCGCACGGATCCCCGACCTCACACCGCGAGCGGATACGTGGCGGCGCTGCCGTCCACCGATCCTCGAGCTCGAATAGCCTGTCCTCAGTTCACAATGCCAAGCCCGGGGAGTCGTCGAGGCAAGGCTCGCTGTCGGCTGGAAGCTCGAAGCCGGTCTCGCCCTCAAAGAGTCGGCAGGCGGCCAGCAGCTACGTCGACCGGTGCGTGGCAGACGACGCCGGCAGGGCGGTCAAAGCACAGACCCCCTATTTCCCCTAAAGCTGACCCCGCCGACACGGTGCTTGGGCCCATCACTTGCCGTTCCCCCCGCCCTGACCCTGCAGATTCATCCCACAACGTGACGGTACCGACATGCAGTCGGCATATCAGCTGATCGCCGACGAGCCCTCGACACCGAGCCGGCACAAGCGCAAGGTCGTCGCCGACACCGATGCACAGAAAGGTGAGGCGTGCGCGGCAGGGACAGTCTTTCCGGCAGTGTCAACGTGCAGGCTGCTGATCTAGCTCCACGCCCCTCCTCTGTTTCGCCCCTCTGCCGCTCACCAGAGGAAGCCAATCAGGCATATTCGACGCTGCTGAGCTCGGAGCTGTTCGGGACCAATGTCGGGCCAGGCACGTCGCCAACGCGAGGGTCCAGAGGCAACGGGATAGCGGCGGCAGCGTCCAGCTCGTCGTCTTCGGTGCACACGAGCGGCGGCTCGTCGACGACGAGGTACTCGAGCCAGACCGGCGGCCTGATCTCGCCGGCCACGCCGACAAAAAAGAACCTCTTCACCTACGGCAGCCCGTCGCGGTCCAAGACGCCCGGGCGCAGCGGGTCGGGCATCGGGCGGGTGGCCGACTTTGGCATCGCCGACGACGAGCTCGGCGGGTCGAGCGGCGGGCGGACTGGCCGAGGGCTGTTTGGCGGGCTGGTTGGGGGCGGGTCCGGCGGCGAGACGCTCGACTCCCCCGTGCACAAGGCGTACAGCCTGAGCCCGGTCAAGCTCGAGAGCCAGCGGATGCTGCTGAGCCCGCGCAAGCCGGCGCGGGTGCTCAACAAGGTGCCGTACAAGGTGCTCGACGCGCCCGAGCTGGCCGACGACTTCTACCTCAACCTCGTCGACTGGTCGAGCAGGAACGTGCTGGGCGTGGGGCTGGGCACGTGCGTCTACCTGTGGTCGGCCGAGACGTCGTCGGTGACGAAGCTGTGCGACCTCAAGGACCAGGGCGACGTCGTGACGGGCATCAACTGGGCGTCCAAGGGCAACCACATGGCCGTCGGCACGCACAAGGGCCTGGTGCAGATCTGGGACGTCGAGAAGCAGAAGCTGGTGCGGACGATGAAGGGCCACAGCCAGCGGGTGGGCAGCCTGGCGTGGAACGAGTTTGTCCTGTCGTCGGGCTCGCGCGACCGCAACATCTACCACCGCGACGTGCGGGCGCCGGACCAGTACATCCGCGAGCTCAAGGCGCACCGGCAGGAGGTGTGCGGCCTCAAGTGGAACGTCGACACCAACCAGCTGGCCAGCGGCGGCAACGACAACCGGCTGATGGTGTGGGAGGGCTTGAGCGAGGCGCCCCTGTACCGGTTCACGGAGCACACGGCGGCGGTCAAGGCGATTGCGTGGAACCCGCACCAGCAGGGCATCCTCGCTTCCGGAGGCGGCACCGTCGACATGAAGATCCGCTTCTGGAACACGATGACGGGGACGATGCTCAACGAGGTCGACACGGGCAGCCAGGTGTGCAACCTGGTGTGGAGCAAGACGTCCAACGAGCTGGTCAGCACGCACGGCTACTCGAGCGGCACGGTGCAGAACCAGATCCAGGTGTGGCGCTACCCGACGATGCAGCAGATTGCCACGCTGACGGGCCACACGATGAGGGTGCTCTACCTCTCGATGAACCCGCAGGGCGACACGATTGTCACGGGCGCCGGCGACGAGACGCTGCGCTTCTGGGACCTCAACACGTCGTCAAAGGGCCAGCTCGACAAGCGGCGCGAGAACAACGCCTTTAATCCGTTTGCCAAGCTGCGCTGAGCGGGCGCCGCGCGGGTCATTAAACCTGCTCCGCTCGTCCGTTGCGCCGACACCAACGCCTTTCGCTGCGATACTCGAGCGCCGCTGTCGCGCGAACCGGAGCGCCACGCCGATCCCGGCCGCCGTCGTGCTACCTTACCTTACTTCTACCGACGACCGTGCCGCTTACCCAGCCTGTTCCATCCGCGTTCGACCCAAGGCACCGTCCCCTTTCGAGCCCCGTCGGTGCCTCGTCGCTTCCTATCTCTTCTTTTGACTTCTGTAGCCCATCCATCGTGAGCCTTTGCGTGTTTTTGTCGTCGTCGTTTGCCGCGCGCATCCACCCATCTGTATTCTAGCTAGACCCCCCAGAAACCACTTACGTCGTATCCGTTTCGTCGGTTCCCCTCTAGCCGCAGTGCGGGGCCATGGAGTGGGAAGACACAAGCGGGAGGGGCATCGCTGCGAGTGAGGGAGCGAGGCCGGGCTGGACGTGTTTGGTGGCTCGAGATCGCGTCGATCCAGGCGAGCACTTTGCGCGTCGAATTCTCCGAGCGTGCGTGGCTAGCCTGCCTGGCCTGGCGCGGCCGGATCTGGGCTGGGCTGCACACGCACGCACGCGCACATACGTGCATCGAGTTGGCCAAGGGCGCGTGCCTTGCTCGGATGCAGGAGCCATGACGTAGGGACCAAGGGCCCGGCCATATGCATGTCAAGCAGCCAGCTTGCTTGCAAACACGCGCACCCATCCGTCGACCGGTCTGGCCCAGAGGCCTGCCTCAGTCGAGTCCAGCGATGCCATCTTGCGGCACGCTAGGTAGCACACACACGTTCTTGGCCGGCAAGCCTCTCGCTCTGGACATGCACCTCGACGAGGCCAGGCCAGGCCAGGCAGACTCAGGCAAGGGAGGTTTGCCAGCTGCGCACGCATCATGGAGGGCTCGACAGGCAGGCTAGGCCAGGCAGGGTCCTCTCCGGCGGCCTATCTTGCTTGGTCGCTCGACCTAGCTGCTGCCTGCTGCCTAGAATAGCCTGCTCGTGAACGAGGGTCCCCCTCGGTTGGCAAACAGCGTAGCCAGCTGCAGACGGCAGCGGGCATGCCTCCCTTTGCGCCGAACGGTCTGGATATCCGCAACAGGCAGGAAGCAATCGACAGACGGACCGACTGACACGGCGACGAGCGAACAGCTGGCATGCTACAGGCCTGGTATAACGACAGGCCAGAGTAGTCGGGGCGTGCAGGGCTCGTTGGTGGCCCTGGACGCGAAGCCTTCCGTGACGGTCGTTTGCCCTGCGGCCGAAGACGAGGGCTTGGCGTCAGCTGTCGTCCAGTCCAGCTGGACAGCATCTTGACGAGCGGCCTCCTTCTTTGCCCTCCCTCGCTCGTCGTCTTGGTCACCTTCCCTTCTCTCACCATCCTCGGCGCCATACCGCCTTTCCCCTCTCTCCGTCCAAGAGGTCGTGTGCGACCGCTGCCATAGCCCACAAGACTCCCTCGCGTCCATCGAGCTGGCTACGCAGGCCTCGCTCCACAACGACAACCGCATACAACCCGACCCCACCCCCCTCACCTACCCCCGTAGACGTCCCCGACCATGGCATCGACAGGGCAAGGCGGGGTCGACCAACCCGCCCGCATCTCCGAGGCCGGCGAGAGGTCGACCAAGGTCGAGGGACGCTTCATCGAAAACCTCTCGACCGACGTATCGCGCGCCTCGGCCGACGACTCGGACGGCAGTTACGAAATGGTCGACGCCGCCGACGCCGTCCCGCCGCCCAGGAGATCCGGGTCGCGAGGCAAGATGGCCGGGGTACCGCCCTCGACTCGCAAGAGGAACGCCGCGGCGACGACGACGGCGACGGCCAGGAAGAGCGCAGAGCTGCTCAAGGTGCCCACCGACGATCGCCGCCATGGACCGATGTCGGACCGCGGTGGACGGGATCTGTTCGCTGGGGATCCCGAAAAGGCGCCGCAGAAGAGCGCCTTTGACGCCGACGCCGATGACCTCGACCCGGGCGACGGCAACCACGACGACGACGACGGCGAGGAGCTGCATCCGCTGCTGGCCAGAATCTACCCGCTGAGCCACTTTATCGGCTTCCGACCGCGCTCCTACTCGCACTGGCCGGACGGCTTCCGCTTCGACGCGGGCCATCGGCGCTTCAACCGCTTCCACTATACCGCCGGGCGCATCCTCAGCTTTGGGCTGCCGCCGCTCGGCCACACGGGCAACGCCGACCACTACCGCGACGCATCGACGGGCCGCCTCAACCTGGCGCGCATGTACACCGAGGGCATGCTGGCCAAGCTCATCGAGGCGCTCCACTCGGTCGTGGCCGTGTGGACCCTCATGGTGCTGCTGGCCTTTATGAGCCGCGGGCCCCTCCTGCGCGCCCACGACGCGCCCCTCATTCTCGCCCCCTTTGGCGCCGAGGCCGTCATCACCTTTGTCGCCTACCGCGTCGAGCTGGCCCAGCCCAAAAACATCCTCTTTGGCAACGCCGTCGCCGCCGTGCTCAGCGTCGCCCTGACAAAGGCCTTTGACCGCCTCCGCTTTAACCCGGGCGACGTCTACGGCGAGGCGTGGATCGCCGCCGCCACCATCCCCGCCGCCGTCGTCTTTGTCATGGTGCTCCTCGGCATCACCCACCCGCCCGGCGGCGCACTGGCCGTCCTCGTGACGACGGTGCCGTCCATCTACGACCTCGACTGGTACCTCGTCCCCGTCGTCGTCTTTAGCACCCTCATCGTCCTCGGCTGGGCCCTCATCATCAACAACCTCGGCGCCAGGCGATACCCGGGCAACTTTTTCTACCACCAGGCCTTTCGCCAGCCCCCCATGCTCGGTCCAGAGGGCTTCAGGTACCACGATGCGCCGTATGCGCCCAGAAGGAGGGGGAGGGGGGCGACGAAGAAGGCATCGCATTCGGGCGGTGCGGAAAAGAGCGCCTTTCCGCTATCCGGCAGGGCAACCAGGGCGACGGCGGCGGCGGCGGCGGGGGATGCCGGCAAGGTGCGCTCCCGGCCGAGCATCTCGAGCCCCATGCCCACCGAGACGGGCAGGGTCACGCCGAGCGGCTGGCCAGAGACGCAACGCACCGCCCCTGCCCCGCCGCCACCAAGCGCGGCACCGCCGTCGCAAGCAGCGGCAGCCACATCCGTCCCTGCGCCCGTCGAGTCGTCGTCGTCGTCGTCGCAGCCGGCCCAAGAGAAGCCGGTACCCGTCGTCGCTGCCGTCGCTGCGAATAGCGAGGCGACCCAAGCGCCCGCAGCCTCAGCCTCAGCCTCGGAACCCTCGACCGCCTTCGTATCCCCCTCTGCCGAAACGTCGCAGCAGACGGTCCAAACGGACGCGAGAAAGACCGACGCGGACCCGAAACCTGTCCAACCCACAGCAGTCGTCGAAGATGCTGCCGCGACGACGGAGACGACGACGACGACGACCGAGGCGGCGCCTTCTTCGGACCCGTCCCCTCAGGCGGTAGGAGCCGCCGAGTCTCTGGCGAGGAACGCGTCAATGGCGAGCGGGACCAGCAGCCGCGGCGGGAGGAGGGGCAAGCGGACGGTCCAGGTGCACTACAACCAGCCGCGCGTCGGGAGCGGCAAGGGCGGCGCCGAGGCGTCGTCGCTCCCCGCCGTGCAGTGGCGATAGACCGGCCCGGCCCGGAGCGGGGATTAGACAAGACGTGTTGTATCGCGGCATTGCCGCGGCTTAGACTCGACTGCTGTGGCGATACCATCCAGACCTCGAGACGATCCGACGGCGGCGAGCCAGAACCGGCGCACCTCGGCGCGTTTGTGCCGCGCGCATCGAAGCGGCCGAGGTCGGTGTGTTGGTGCCTCGCAAAGCGCGGGCAAAAGAGGCAGTGAAAGGGGGCGACGGCGACGTATAGATACAGGAGAAAAGAGGGAGCCGGGGACGAGGTGGGGTTGCGACGGCGCGGCGAGGCATCTATCGCCTTCCCTTGCGCATGAGGCTGGCGACGACGATGCCTGCGACGGCCGTTGCGCCACCGAGGAGCGCCATGCCGATGTAGCCCTCTGCGCGGCGAGGCGAGGCGGGAGCAGCAGAGGGGTGGGTGCGAGGAGAATGGGCGGGTCAGCGATGGACGGGGCCGCGCGGCAAGGCCAGCAGGGCTGCTTGCTCACCTCTTGCGACGCCCTTTTCAATGAGCTGGTTGAGGCTCTGCGCTTGGAGGTTGTTTGGTTCCCTCTCGATCAGCAGGGCTGGGTGTGCACAGGGGGCCGAGCCGTGGGGGTAGGCCGTAGGTGGGTGAGTGAGGAAGCGTGGGAGGCATGGGCAAGTGGCGATTGGCTGGACGTACCGTTGAACCGCCTGGCCTCGTCGTAGTTGCCCATCTTGTAGTGCCCGAGCGAGAGGTAGTAGAGGCACTCGCGTCGTCGTGGTGGATCGGAGCGGTAGATCTCTGCGGCGAGTTAGGAAGGGGAGGAGCGGGGATTAGTGCGAGGAACGACGCCGGGGGCATGGACCAGGAGAGCGTGCGCGCCACTCACCGGTGAGGAGGCCGACGCCGTGGCTCATGTCGTCGCGGTTTTTTGACTTTACGAGGCCCCAGGCGTAGTTGAACTTTGTCTGTGTGGTTACGTGGCCGGATGAGAGTTCGGACTGGTACTGGGAGCGAAGCACCTGTAGCTCCGAGGGCGAGAGGGACGTCTCTGCGTCGGCGGCGTAGGGCAGCGACATGGCGGCGGCGGCGTCAGTAGACGCGGGGATGATGGTGCTGTTTGAGGAGGGCGATTTGAGCCGTCGAAAGGATGGGGGGGAGATGGAGAGGAGCGTTGATGGTGATGGCGGCAGGATGGCGAGGCTGGCCACGGGCTAGGCCAGTCCAGCAGGCAGGGCCAGGCCAGGCTGAGCCAGGCTGTGATGTGCCGTGCGCTGCCGTGGTGGTGGAGGCTTGGCCGCGCTTTCATCTCGGGCGACAAAAGACCCGTTGCTCCAAAGCGGCGAGCGGCCAGCGGCCAGCAGCGAGCGGCCAGCAGCGGCCAGCAGCGGCCTGTGCGTCCCTGGACTGTCCTGGCAGGCCTGGCCCAGCTGCCCTGGCTGCCTGCACCGCCCGCCATCCACGCGATGCCTGCAGCCAGATGCGACTCCACCTCTTTGGCCGCCGCCACCACCACCACCACCACCACCACCACGACCAACCCATCTCCTGCCCCTGCCCCGCCTCCCCCTGCACCTCCCTCGCCATGATGGACGAGCACGACCAAGACACCTTCACCTCAGTCACCTGGGACAACAAGGACGCCGCAGACTCCCAGCCCGTCTTCACCTCGATGCCCAACCCAGCCTCGGATCCGCACTCGTCGTCCCCAGCACCGGGACCCTCGTCCAGCGCCGCCGTATCCGCAGGTCCCAGCAGGCTCGCAACCGCATACGACAACGACGACGCCACCAGGCTCTCCTGGGCCGGATACCTCATGGTCCAGGTCCTCGACCCCAGAAAGGAGCTCGAGGGTCAAAAGGACTCGTTCATCTCCTACGGCATCCGCGCAGAGACCAACCTCGCCCACTTCTCCAGGACCTACATGGCAACAAGGAGGAGGTTCAACGACTTTACCTTTCTCAGAGACGGCCTCAAGCGCGACTTTCCCGCCTGCATCGTCGCACCCCTCCCCGAAAAGCACCGGTTAGAGTACCTCACCGGCGACCGCTTCAGCCCCGAGTTCATCGAGAAGCGAACCGCAGAGTGGGTAGCCAGGACAGTCCGCGAGGTTGGATCGTGCCGATACCACTGCAGATGCTGAGCCTCCTTCTCGCTTCTTATCTGCTCGCCCGCTCCACCACCCCTGCACAGCCTCCAGCTGTTTCTCGAGAGAATATGCCGGCACCCCACTCTCCAGCGCAGCCAGCTGCTCAGAAGCTTTCTCGAGTCGACGGAATGGGTAAGCAGGCGATGGCGACGGCGACCGCGACAACGACAACGACGGCGACGGCGATGATCCTGGACCTTGATCGCTGACCGCCGACCCGCTCCTCGCTCGGCTCGCCTCGGCTCTGCCTCCACGATCAACAGCAAGTCGACATGCATGCCCACAACTCTTCGCACAACATCCTCGCCTCGGGCTCTGGAACCGGCGGCGGCTCGCTCATTTCGGGATCGCAGCACGAGAACACGGCGCCCCCCAGCCTCCTCGACAGCCTCTCCGACACTCTCCTCAACGCCTTCACAAAGGTCAGGAAGCCCGACGAGCGCTTCCTCGAGATCCGCGACAGCATCGACAAGCTCGAAGAGGGCCTGTCTGGCACGGAACGCGTCCTCGCGCGCAACCGCTCCCGCATCTCAGGTGAGCGTCGCGCGTCCCCGATCCTCCGCGCTCCCTTACTCCGCCCACCCACTATCCTCTCGTCCCCGTCTCTGGGCGGTGCTCGTCCGCGGGCTGTGCCGGCGTGGCCTGCCGGGTGACGAGCTCGCTCGTTGGTTGTCCGCAACGGCCTCGATGCCTCCCTTAGTCAGATCGATGCCCTGACATTCTCACCCCACCCACATTGACCAACGTGTGCGGTACGCTGACCTTGACCCCAGCTCTGCCGTTTGGTGACGTCTTCGCTCCGCAAATGGGTACATCGCTCGAAGACCTGTCGACCGACTACGAGGACCTGGCGACGAGCTTTGAAGGGCTCGGCTACCTCGAGAGCGGCATCACCGATCCGCTCAACCGCTTCGCCTCGACGATGCTCGAGTTTGCCAGGCTGCAGCGCATCACGGTGAGTCGATTCTGCCAGACGAGCGCGCGTCCGCGCCGTGGATGCCACACGGGCAGCAATGGAGCAGGCCAGCTCACGCCTCCGGCTCGCCCCTACCTGCTGCGCCCTGTCTCCCGACTCCTTTGACCTGGCGTCTTGTGTCATCGAACCAGTCGGCCCGCTCGACCGACTCGATGCTGTCTCAGATGCACGCGCTGCTGTCGTACGCCAATTCGCACAAGTCGGTGCTCAAGCTGCGCGACACCAAGCAGCTGGATTTCGAGGAGCTGACCGACTACCTGTCGGGCGTCGTGTCGGAGCGCGACCGGCTTGCGAGCCTGTCGAGCCCGCACGGCGCGGGGCACGGCCACGGCGGGGTGCGCGGCGCGGGGATCGGCGGGTACCTCAAGGACAAGGTGGACAGCTTCCGGGGCGTCGACGAGGAGAGGACGAGGGTGGAGAGGATGCAGAGGCTCGACGGACGCATCAAGGAGGTGAGTGGGCGGGCTTTGCTTGCGCTGGGTGTCGATTGGCCTGCATGCTCACGACCGTCGTTCTTTCTGCTGCACCGCGTCGCGCCTCACAGCTGCAAGACGCGGTGACGTCTGCGCACGACACATCGCAGGCGTTTAACAACGAGGTGTTCAAGGAGCACGAGATCTTCAAGCTGGCCAAGGAGCAGGAGATGCGCGACATTCTGTCGACGTACGCCGAGGGGCAGATTGAGCTCTACTCGAAGGCGATGGAGAGCTTTGACCGGCTGATTCCGCAGCTGGAAAAGATCCGCGTGGCGTAGCGGGGTGCCGCGACGGCAGGGGCGAGGGTGGTGGTGGGTGTTGGTGGAGCCAGTCTGATCGACTGTAGTCGCATGGCCCCGGTGGCGCTGTATCAGCGGGGCGTCAGCATCGCCCGTAATTCGACAAGCGGAAGGCGTTCTGCGATACATGCGTCGACGAGGCTAGGGCTGTCTGAGGCCAGCCAGACGAGGCCCGGGGTACGGTAGGGTGTGCTTGCTTGCTTGCTTGCCAGCAGCTGGACTGCCTGCCTGAGTCAGGGCCCTCGTCTGGACCCTGCCTCCTGGTTGGTTGGCCCTGGAGAAAGCGGACAGGCAGAGGAAACCCGCCTCTGATGTCACCCGCGCCGCCGCCGCCGCCGCCGCCGCCCGCGGTTCCTCGGCCAACTTCGGAAGAAAAGTGGAGGAGAGGCAGGCGGGCGTTGGCTGAGGCAGGATCGGACCGGAGGGCGACGGCCAAAAACCCAACCCGGCCTGAGCCTGACGACGCGGGGCGGGCAACCTCGACTCTGCCCTAAGGTTTACCTCCTCGTCCTCGTCCTCGTTTGTCGTTTGTCGTTTCCACCATATCCCTCACCTTCTTGCCTCTCTTCATCCCGGATCAAACGCCACCTCGTCCGCTTCCTTGCCACCCCACGCATCACCTGCGATACACTGCTGCACTCGCAGTCCCACATCAGCCTCCCCTCGTCGTCGAGCACCACTCACCAAGCAGCCATGTCCTACGGAACCCACCGACAGGTCGGCGACGTCGCAAAGCGAGAGGCGTGAGTGCGCGCTCTCAGCCTGGCACACCTCAGCGTAGCCCCCAACACGCCTATTGACCTTGACGGCTCATCTCTCCCCTCTCCTCTCTACCAACGCCCCCCTCGTCCCTTATCGACAGGCAATACAACACGGCAATCAGCGCCGCCGCCACTGGCTTCGCAGTCGGCACCCTCTGCGCCGCCCCCGTCGCCTTTCTGGCCAACCGCTCGCTCCCGACGTTCCGCAACCTCACCCCCGCCATCAAGACGTCGCTCGTCTTTTCCGTCGGCATCGCCACCGGCGTCATCCGAGCAGACAAGGCCGGCATCGCCTTTGACGTGCGTCCCTCTGCATCCCGGCCCGCGCCGACATTGCAGGCAGGTCGAGTGAGCGTTGGCTGAGTCGTTTCGCTCTCTTCATTCCTCTTCTCCATCCGCGCAGAAAGAGCACTATTCCGACAAGGGCGCCGCCATCCAGAGGAGGTATCAGACCAGCGAGGAGAGGCAGTGGGACCAGCTGTCGTTCCGCGACAAGGCCCTCACCTGGGCAAAGGAGAACAAGTTTGGCGTCGTCGCCGGAAGGTGAGGCCGAGCTCGAGGCCCCGCACCTGTCGCCGCCTTGGACGATCAAGGTCCCGCTGACACTCTCGCATCCCCTTCGGTCCCCTCTGCCCGCCCCCGCCCCCGCTGCGCCGCCGCCGCCGATCTGCAGCTGGGTGACGTCGATGGGCCTGACGTTTGCCTACATCAACACGCAGCCGCTGTCGTTTGCGCAAAAGCTGGTGCAGGCGCGCGTGTGGGCCCAGGGCCTGACGCTCGCCTCGCTGATTGGTATGGCCGCCATCACCCAGATCCCGAGCGAGGGCGACAAGATCATCAAGCAGCACAAGGAGGCCACCGAGCACAGCTGGAAGGATTTCGTCGGAGAGGTCGACAACGACGACGGCAGCTCCAACGAGGAAAAGCAGCAGCGGCAGCAGCAGAAGCAGCTCACCCGGTCCCAGGGCAAGGCGTACCAGTAGGCGCGCAGCAGACACAGAGACAGAGACAGACACAGACAGACACAGAGATAGACAGGCAGATAGGCAGAGAGACAGGAAGAAGCCAGCCCTCGGGGACAGGGACGAGATCCTGGCTAGGCTTTGCCACCCCTGGAATCTTGCATGCACAACACGGTCGGCGCATCGCCGCTTTTCGCCTCTGTCCAGATAGCAGCCAGCGACGGCCCTAGGAGGCACGATCTCGATGTCGATCCCTGGAGCTAGAGCCCCGTTGTCGCTGCCAGTCTGGGCAAGTCGCCGGGTGGGAAGAGTTGGAAGAGGAGTCGCGGGGGCGACGGTCAGAGTCGATTTCCGAATTCCGGCGCCTCGAGGTGGAGTGCCGGTCTGTTCAGCAGCCAGTCAGCCAGGCAGGCGGACGGACCGACGGCCGCCCTGCTCGGCTGAGCTGGTGGGGACTCCGCCTTCCGAGATCTGGCTCCGGTCTAGCCCATACTCCCCGCCTTCTTCTTGCTCCTGGCCCACGTTGCCGACGACACCTTGCTAGCCCCCACGCACATCATCCTTCTCCTTGCCCGGCAGAGCTGATTCGCAACCGCGCCCCTGCACCGTCATGGCAACGATAGACGCCGCCAACACGGCGCCCGCAGCGGCGGGGACGGTGCTGCCCCCCGAGACGCTCAGCTCGCACCTCTCGGCCCTCGAGCTCATCACGGCAATGTGGCAGGGCGACGACGAGCTCGAGCTCTCGGACAGGGACGCCGATGCCATACGACTCGTGAGTCCGGGGGGCTTTTGCATGCTTGCGCAGAGATCCCAGCTCGATCTCTGACCCGCCACCGCCACCTATCCGCCTCTCGATGTCCATACCCGGGCCGTCCTGGGATCGACGGGGCCAGGTGGGCGAGTACCTCAACCTGCCCCTCTCGGAACTGGGATCGACCACCTCGCACCGCCTAAAAGACCGCCTTCCGTCCCACATCCACATGTCGCTCCTCATCCACCCGGAAAACGGCGCAGAGGTACAGTCGGACGGCTGGCAGCGGCGCAAGGTCAAGCTCGACCTCGACTTTGTCGTGCGCAGACCCACGGCCGTCGCCAGCGCCATCGGGCAGAGCTACGTCCACCCGCGGGTGACGGTGCGCAGTCCAGACTGGCTGAGCCGCGACCTCTTTGACAGGGTCTGCGAGGCTGTCAAGGCCGTCGAGGCGGAAAGGGAGCAGCAGCAGCAGGCCGACGAGGCAAACGACGAGGGGGATGCCGTCGGACTCGTCATGGACATCGTGGAGCGGGTCAGTCAGGTCGTCTTGGACGGCCTCGCCTCGCAGCCACCCACCACCGACGCCGCTCAAGGTGCCCCTTCCTCGTCCTCCGCCGTAGCCGGCGCCAACGGTGCTGCTACGCCCCCGTCGGCAACAGCAGCCGACGTCGCGGCGTCTCGACGGGTGCTGCGCACCTGGTCCTACCTCCCCTCGCTCTCGTCGCGCGAGAAGCGCTCCGACATTGTCACGTACGCCCTCTCGCACTCTCCCCCGCTCACGGGCTTTGTGCTGGCGGGCAAGCCGGGCCTGATCGTCCTCGAACATCCGCTCCCACCCCTACCGCCATCGCCCGCAGCAGCAGCATCGTCACCCTCCACCACCACCACCACCACCTCCTCGTCGTCGCCGCCTGCCGCGACGGCAACACCGGACCGCGCGGCGGTACAGCAGCAGCTGCGCGACGCCACCGTGTCGCTCGACACGTTCTGGTCGCGCATCAAGTCGCAGTCGTGGGCCGACATACCCTCGGGCCACAAAAAGGTCAGCGAAAAGTTCAGAGAGGAGGACGTGGAGCGCGCCTTTGACACGTTTGAGGAAATGACGGAGCGACAAGAGGTGGGCGGCAAAGAGGTCGTCGCCTACGGCGGCAAGCGCAACAAGAGCGACCTCCGCAGCGTCCAGCAGTGGCTCGACGGAAAGGGCCTCGAGGGCAGGATGGAAAAGGTGCTCGGCGCGGAGTGGACCAGCACCGCATGATTGGCGGGCCCGGCCTGTCGTGCACAACCCCTTTCCGATGCGGGCTCGCCGGCAGGTGTCGCAGGGCATCTCATCTCGTCCATCTCCTGCCTGCCTGCCTGCCTGCCTGCGATGGCGACTGTCTGCGGGGTCGTGGAAGGACACCACCGCGCCTCGCTCGACGCTCACGAGCTGATCTCGAATGCGATACCATTGCAGGGCTGTGCGCGCCAATTGCGTTGTCTGCGGTCTCACTCGGCATGGAGGCTAGCTTGTCGGTCCATGCTGCTGCTCCTGCTGCTGCTGCTGCAACAAGTGTGAAAGTGCGCCTGTGTCGCAGAGCGCTTGGGCTGACGCGGTGGGGCAGGCCTTTACTGCTTGCCGCCATCGACGTTCTGGTCCTCGCCGCCCTCGCCCGCCTCCTCGGCCATGCTGAAGTAGTGCCACTGGTTCGGCGGGGGAGGGTGCTCCAACGGCTCCCACCTGCGAAGCGTGACCAGTCGGGCAGAGGTGAAAAGGTGGATGAAGGGATGGGTGGAGGAGGGAAGGTGAAGATCGGGCCAGTGTCAGTCGTCGTCTGTGCGTGGAGCGAGTGCAGTGCAGCCTCGAGCGAGCAGCGAAGGCGAATGGGGTCGGCGAGTCGAGAGTGGTGGGACCAAGGCGAGAAGGAGGATGCAGGGACGGGAATGGGGATGGGTCCCGGGACACTCACGCCTTCCACTCGAGCATGTTTGCGACGAGGCCGAGCTCGGTCTTGGCCTGACGCAGCCCGTCCTCGACATAGGGCCATTCGAGCTGCTCCTCGGTCTCCCTGATGAGGTCTTCGATCTTCTGCGCGTCGTTTTCGTGGCCGCGCTGCGCGTCGAGGGCGCGCTGGACGACGTCGAGGTGGTGCTGCGTCAGCGCCGCTGTGCTCTGCCGGTACACGGACGACTCGGGCAGGCTCGACAGCAGCGACAGCGTCTTGGTGTACGTCTCGGCCAGCGCCGACAGCGGCGAGGGGTGCACGTCGACGCCCGTCACGTTGGTGCTCGCCTTGAGGCGCGGCGCCAGCGTGGCGACGCTCGTAGAGGCGTTGCTCGCCCGCACCGCCCGGCCGGCAGTGAAGCGCACAAGGCGTGTGGCGAACATGGTTGGATCCGTTCGAGTGAAGGGTATGGCGGGAGGGCCTGGACGGGGTCGAGATCGAGTCGAAAAGGTGTCAGAGGGATGGCCGGATTGCGGTTGGTGTGCGGGGATGAAGGTGGATCGTGAAGCGGAGTTCAGGCACCGTGGAGGTGATGGGATGGGGTGAGGGCGAAGGTCGAGCGACGCTGGGCCAAGGCTCCGAATCTCGAATGTCGGGAGGTCAGCGGCAGCGGCGGGCGGCGGGGCCCACGGCCAGCCCGAGTGTCAGCAAGCTGGGCCCCCCGCGAGGCCAGCCGGCCACGGCGTGATCGGACGGAATTTTCGGAGCCGACGAGATGGCTCCTCCCACGTACTCGACCGCCCTCGCGCCACGCACCAAACTTGAAGCCAGCCAGCCCCTTCCCTGCTGCGATGCAAGCCGGTCAGTCCGCAACCGTGCCAACTCAACCCTCCGCCACGCCCGCCCGCAGCAGGGGAGACCGATGCGCCCAATGATGCGGGGCGTGCGCGCCAGGATGCGTGGTACGTTTCTGTTTGTTTGCGCGTCTATACGATCGTCGTAAAAGCGGGTCGATGGCTAGCTAAAGATGAGAATGCGAGGAAGCGGTCGTGGAAGCGGTCGTTCCGCGTGCGTAGGGGGAAAAGTGCTCTCGACGAGCTCCGTTTTTATGATGGTGAGGCTGGGGGGCTGCGTTGCGGTCATGACTACAAAACTCTCTGGTATACCCTGGAACGGCGGACGGGGCGGGAAGGCGGCGAGGACGGCGAAGCAATCGGATGGCCATCCAACGCCGTTCAGCCACCGCTGCTACTGCTGCTGCTGCTGCTGCTGACGCGAAGCCTCAACACCGACGCTGGCCGCGGCGAGGGCGGCGCTCAGGTCGAGGTGGAAGAAGGGAGTCAGGTCGTTGCCCCAGATGATGGGGATCGAAATCTGGCTATCCCGCGGTCCCGGCCGCCCGGCATTGGCGTCGTGGCCGTCTTCGGTGGTTCCGCCAGTCCTGCCCTCCTCGAGGCTCTTCTCGATGCTGTCCCTCGAAGGCGAAGACGAGCCCTCGGCCTCGATATCCTCGAGCACGTAGGGCGACTTGACATCGGGGGCGATGCCCGCAGCGGCGGTGGCGGCGGCCGACGACGGGTAGGTGTGCTCGTCGACGTCCTTGCCCGACAGGGCCCGCTGAATGGCGCGTGCGCGGCGTTCCCGCTCGGCCTGCTCGCGCTCGCGCTGCTCCTTGGGCGGCAGCGTGGTGGCCTCGCGCTGCGAAACGACGGGCGCCACCTCGGTAATGTGCCGCGATGCCAGACCCGTTCCGAAGCCGCCGGCAAGCAGGCCCCTGCGAATCCAGGGCGAGAGGATGTTGGCAAAGTGGAACTCGACCTTGGCGTCGGCCCAGCGCTCGACCGCGGCGCGCACGTCGACCAGCGTCTGGATCGAGGTCGTGTCGACGTTGCTGACCGAGGAAAAGTCAAAGATGAAGGCCTTGAGCAGCGGCCTGCGGTCGGTGAGGTCGACGTTGGCGTCGGCCTCTTTGCCGTCGCGTCGGCGCTTGACACAGTTGGCGAGCTTGCTGAAGGCGGGGTTCGCCGGGCCCGGGTCGTTCCAGGGACGGTCGCCAGGCTTGGCGTAGTCGAGCGGCCGTCCGGGCCGGGTCTCGACCTTGGCCTTCTCGATGAGCAGGTCGGCCAGGTGCGACGCGTTCGGGTAGGTGAAGGCCTCCTCGAAGCGGTAGATGAGGACGCCGGGCGGCGGCGCCTCGACGCGGATCGACGGGTCGCGCAGGCCGTCCTTGTCGTCCAGCGGAACGAAGACGTCGCGGTGCGAGAGCGTGACGGTCGACTGGTCGGGCGACGTGGTGCCGTGGTGGACGCGGACGACGCCGAGCCACCTGCCTCGGGGCCGTGCGATGCGGACGAGGAGGAGCACCAGCGATGCCGCGACCGACGTGTAGACGCCGTTCTCGATGCTCGAAAAGATGGTGACAAACACGGCGGCGAGGAAGATGATCATCTCAAGCGGGCTGATCAGCCAGAACTTGTAGGTGACCGAGAGCGGCGTGATGAGGTCGCCGACGGCGTGGATGATGACGGCCGAGAGGACGGCGTTGGGGATCCAGTAGAAGGTGCCGGTCAGGGCGTAGATGGCGATCAGGACGAGGATGCCCGTGAACCAACCGGCCAGCGGCGTGCGGACGCCCGACTTGGACTTGATGGCGGTGCGCGAGAAGGAGCCGGTGGCCGCGTAGCCGCCAAAGCACGGTCCGACGAGGTTGGTGACGCCGATGGCGATGAGCTCCTGGTTGGGGTTGATCTTGTAGTTGTTGAGGCGGCCAAACGACTTGGCGATGGCGATGTGCTCGAGGAGCAGCACAATGACCGAGACGGGCAGCTGGCCAGCCATGTCGGCAAACAGCTGCGTGTCGAGGGTGGGCTGGCCGATGTGCTGGAAGCCGCGGGGCACCGTCTTGAGGATGCTGATGGGGTACTTTTTCGGGTCCTTGTACTGGCCCACCCAGACGCGGCTGGCGATGGTGAAGACGATGATGACAAAGGCGTTGCGCAGGACGGTGAGGAAGAAGGCCGTCTTGCCCAGTTGCGGGTACCGCGTGGGCAGCCACTTGAAGAAGGAGCGCGAGGCGTAGAGGAAGGCGAGCGCCGGTAGGCCAAAGGCGGCGTTGAGGTTGGTGTTGGGCAGCGCCTTGAGCGTGTCGATGATGACCTGGTAGGTGGCGGTGCCGTTGGTCTTGACGCTCGACAGGCCGAGGAGCTTGGGCACCTGACCGGCGGCGATGCTGATGGCCGATCCCGTCATGAAGCCTGCCACGGCGGGCGTCGGGATGAACTCGATGATCCAGCCGATGCGGATGATGCCGATGCCGAGGCAGACGATGCCGCAGAGGAAGGCGAGCGCCGAGGCGATCTGCTCGGCAGTCCACACGTCGGTCTTGTCCAGAACGCTGTTGACGACGTTGAACGTCTGGAGCGACATGACGGCGACCGGGCCGATGGTGACGTCCTTGGAGGTGGCAAAGATGGCGTAGATCATGACGCCGACAAACGAGGAGTAGAGACCGAACTCGGGCTTGAGGCCGGCGAGGATGGCATACGACATCGACTGGGGCACGAGCACGAGGGCGACGGTGATACCGGCGATGAGATCGCCGATGAGCCACTGAAGGTTGTACGACGGCAGCCAGTGCCGGATGGGGAAGAGCGAGTCGAAGTAGTCGACCAGCTGCGGCGCCGAGGGGTGGAAACAGAAGAAGAGCGACGAGGGATCAGTGGCCGCTGCGCCAAAGTCGCACACTGACGCGAGGCACTCTCACCATGTTCCCTGGCCCTCGGCCCAGGTCACGGAAGTAGTCATAGGTGCTGACGACCGGGACGCCGAGGCGGGCAAACTCCTGGTCATCGTAGCTGACCAGCTTGCGGAAGGCCTTGGCCGACTTGGCCTTGAAGCCGCCGGAGCCTTGTGCGGCATCGTTTGGCGGCATGGTGGGCGGATGTGGTCGCTGCCGCAGCGGTCGACGGGGCGGTCGCAGATGCTGCGTCGAGAGGAAAAAGGTGGAGTCGACCGCGAGGGTGGCGCTCGAGGACCCGACCTAGGATTGGAAGGAGATAGATGAAGCAGGCGTCGTCGAAAAGGCGCGCCGCAGGACCAAAGCAGTCGTCAACGGAGGATAGGCAGGAATGGATGGGTGCTGGGAGGGTGCTTGAGGATAGATCTGGACGTAGGAAGATAGGGACGTATATGTACCACCTCGAGGCACAGGAAGAAGGCGGGCGGGCGGGCGGTCGCGTCGTCGAGGAGCGTGGCAATTCAGCAGGGGCGATGTGGGTCGATGCAGAAGCGCCAAGGCGTGCTGAGAAGGCGGCCTAGCCAAGGCGGGAAAGGCGGCGGTGTGAGGGTTTGGGCCGGGTGAACGGCAGGAGCCACGAGGCAGCCAAGAATGGAACTAGCGAGGGCTGGCGAGGGCTGGCGATAGACGATGGCTCAAGGAGCAAGTGCTGGCGCGGTACGGTACGGTGAGCTGGTGGCGAGGAAGGGGGTGCACGCGGCGGCCAGCAATCGTCGGTCGATGGCGAGGAAAGCAGGCAGGTGGTGCCTGAATCAATCGCCGAGCTGATGTGCGCTGGTGACCCGGAAACGAGGCGGCTGGGCGGCGAGCAATGGAGACGCCAAGGAGGATGCTGGCTGGTACGTGCTAGCGGTGTCGTCCTGGGTGCGCAATGGCGGGCGGGGTCGTCGAGGTCAGCGAGGTGAAAGGTGAGAGGAGGTGAGAAGGCAAAGGACGGGCGCGGCCGTTGATGAAGAGGGCGAGCCATACCGAGGGACGGGTAGGAGGCTACCAAGGAAGCTGGCCATCGTTCCAGGAGACGGTGACAGAGGGGGGGCGGGCAGGCAAAGGCCGGGAGCGGGGGGGCGGCGATGTCGCCATCGTGGTCTGCACGTCGCCAGGGTGGGCGGGATGGTGTCACCTCGGGGGCTGATGGCGGCAGGCAGGCCCAAGCAAGCCTCCCCTCCACCGGGGCGGCGCTCTTTGACGCATCCGCGCGCCTTGTCCGGCCAGCCGGCTGAGGGTGCAGCTGGCCTGCTCGAATTTCTTCCTCTTCCTGGCCGCTCGTTTGGCTCTGGCCAGGCCAGGCCGAATCTCGGTCGTGCCAGCGTTGCGGGGCCAGATCGATGGCGGCAGGCCGGCAACAAAATTGAGAAGCAGGCCAGGCAAAGCAAGAGCCAACAGGCTAGGCGCACCCACGTTGCTGTGCAGCCAGCCTGACCGTAGGCCTCAGGCCTCTGGCTAGACAGCGCGGGGTCCAGCCGCGGCGGGGCGGGCAGCTCCTGCTCCGGCCTTAGCCCCGGCCCCACCGACCGGGTGATCCGACCCTTCTGAAAGTTTTGCTCCCGGTGCAGGTCAGGGCGCAGCGCGCCTGCGTGGTGGCAAAAGTCGACAGTTGGCCAGGCCGCCTGCCGCCTTTGGCGTTCTTCTCGAGCACGCCATCTGCCGCAACCCTGGGGCGACTTCGACTTCCAACCTCCACCTTGGCGAAACCGGGCGTCGCCTCGGCCCCACTCCGCCGTCCCCGTCCACCAGGTTGAGCCGATTGGCTGACCAGTAGTCACGGCCACGCTCGATCGGATCCGTCGTTGATGACTATAGGTCATAGACACGCTCACGTTGCAGGCTTCGCTTCGAGGCAAGGTCGACGACGATGTCGATCAGAAGCAGGGTCGGCCACCACTTCACGCTGCGAGAGACCCTAAGCTGGCGGGCCTGCCTACAGCTAGTACTGTTTCCCCCCCGATCTGACAGCGCGGAGTTTCTGGAGCACGCCATCGACTTCGCCCAGAGAAAACGTGAAGCGGCTGCAGGCCAAGCCAGGCCGGGTGCTCAAGGTCGGTTCCGCCGAGGTCGGCCAGATGGGGGGCTGAAGCACGGGCCATCAGGAAAGCTTGAACGGCTTTAAGCGCTCGCGGATCGAAATTGGACTGGGTGCCAAGCGGGTGTTGAATTTCGCGCACCGAGCGGCTTGATCTGGAGCTGCCTCCCCGATTATAAGATCGGGCGCCGCAGATCGGAGCGTACCCGCACCAGCGAGGATCGGGCGAGAGGCCCGTGTCGCCATCCCGCCGGCTGGTGGCACCATGGCGTGCCATCCATCCTGCCTGCTTCCTCGTCCACCTTCCGCATCTGACGCATCGACCCATCTCGACCTGGATATCACCCAGAGAGCCGTCGTGCGCACGGTCGAGACCATGCGCTCTATCGTGCATTCAATTCGGCAAGATGCGACCCCCGCAACGTGGCAAGCCAGGCCTAAGGCCGCCACTCGACGCTCCAGGACAAAGACAGGCAAGCAAGCAAGCAAGCTGAGGTGGTCGGCGTGCGGAAGGCGACTCGAGGTCCTTCCCGAGGTCGATGAGGTGATGGAGCGGTCCGCAGGCTAGGTATGAGCTGCTCGCCGCAGGTACGGCACCGGTAGCCGCTCCGACCGCAATCGCGCGCTCGCAGGCAAGAGCTCCACGCCCGCCGGCCATCCCGAACGGCCCATCGGTTCTGCCTTCCCGTCCGTACAGAGCTTGCTCCTGCATCGCATCGTTCGCCGTCGGCATGAATGAATGGAGGCGGGGTATCCAAAGGCGGAGTCCACATGCTCAGCATCTCCTTGCTTTGCCTCCGACAGCGATAACGAACTGGGTTGAACCGTGAAAGACCATCCTCGCGGGTCACCATCCGGTTGCCCCCTCGTTTTCCGATTGCGAATGGCATCGCGGCATCGCACCGCTCCGCATCGCATCGCACCATCCGGCCGCGGGTTCGGTTTGTCGGTCGATTCCAGCCATGCGGGGAAGCGGGCCTGGACCGAAATAGCAAAGACGCGATCGCACGCCGTCAGAGGCAAGCGTGGGCACCGTCGTTCCGGACCCTCGTCCGGACGATGGTGCAAGCAAGGCAATGCTCGGAGCAGGAATAGGGCATCGGCTTGCTGTGTAGGCTGAATCAGGTATAGGTAGGCGGAAGGTGTTCGGTGAAAAGTACACATTTTACAGCGGGGTCGCGGCAGGGCAAGGGTCGAAAGCAGAGCTAGGTCCGCGTGGTAGACGGTCCAGAAGGTTCCGATGGGCGGCATCGCCATTCGACGATAGCGGCTAGGGTGGCGAGCGGCCGAGCAGGCGAGCAGGCGAGCAGGCGATGGCACAGGGATGGGACAGCGCGCATGGAGCGCGAGCCGAGGCAGGGCGAGGCCTACTTGCGCCGCGCGCGCTTGCCGCCCGTCTTGCGGATGTTGATCAGATCCGACTCGATCTCGTAGTCCTTGGCAGGCGTCAGCTGGTTGAGGCTCTTGCCGATGTCCCACCTCAGTCGGCCTCCGGTGCTGGCGAGGGCCGCCGCCGCAGCAGCAGCCGCAGCCGCCGCAGCCGCCATCCGTCCGCCGGCATCGTCGTCGTCGCC